GAGATAGATAGATAGATAGATAGAGAGGGGGGAGGGGGGGAGGGAAAGAGAAGGAGGAAAGAAGGGAGGGAGATTAAAGATAATTTAATCTGATATTTCGAAATTGTCTCGCGCCATTATTCTTCGAATTCGCGTTCGATAGAAAATGGAAAATTATCTTTATACATACACAAGCGAAGAAAATTTCCAAAATTTTTCGTTTCCAGTACACGCCATTGGTGGAGAAGGAGAACGAGGAATTGGTCCATCACATAATATTGTACGAGTGCGCTTCGACCCTGCCGATATTAGGGCAACACGCGAGAATCGTCGGGGCGCCTTGTTACAGTCCGACGATGCCACGGGAGTGGGAATCCTGTTTGCAACCGGTGTTGGCCTGGGCTCGGGGTAGCAAAGGTAAACGGCTCGAGTGGAAAGAAATTCGTGAAATTCGTTAAAAAGTAAAGAGGGAGGGGGGAAGAGGAAGAGGAATAAAATAAAACGAATGTCGTTGCGTGTCTTCACAGGGGAATGGCTTCCGGAACACGTCGGCATTTCCATTGCTGAGCATTCGGAAGGTTCTTATTATATGCTGGAGGTGCATTATAATAATCCCAGCATGAGGAAGGTGGTGGACAGCAGCGGTGTACGCCTTCACCTGACTCCCAAACTTCGCCCCCAGGAGGCGGGGATTCTCGTTGCTGGCGTTGCAGTGAGCCCTCTTCATCTCATCCCTCCTAAACAAAAGGAATACGCCACGGCGGGATACTGCACTCCACATTGCACGCACACGGTGAATAATCTCGTTCGATGTTGCGACATCGTATCGTACAATTGTATTTCTAAAAACCAAAGTGTAATAAATATAAATAATATAATAATATAATAAATAATAATAAATAATATAGTATTATATTTTATTATTATATTATTTATATAAATAAATATAATATTATATTTTATTGTATAGTTTATTGTATATTATATATATATAGTATATATATTAGCATATATATTATATAGTATAATTTATTGTACAATATAGTAAATATTATATGTCCTCTTGTCTAGATGTTCCCCGAGAGCGGAGTGAACATCGTTTCGGTAGTGCTGCACTCCCACCTGGCCGGTCGGCGGCTAAGTCTGAAGCATATCAGGCAGGGCAAGGAATTACCAAGGATAGTTGAGGACAATCACTTCGACTTCGAGTACCAGCAGTCTCACACTCTGGAAAAGGAAGTGAAGGTACTTCCGGGGGACGAGTTGGTGGCCGAGTGCGTTTACGGCACTCTGGATAGAACCAAGCCTACCTTGGGAGGATACGCGGCGTCTCAGGAGATGTGTCTTGCCTTCGTAGTCCACTATCCGAGAACACCGCTCGCTGCCTGCTACAGCATGACGCCGTTGAAGCATCTGTTCAAAACGTTAGGAGTGTACAGCTTCAAAGGTGTAACTATGGACCATTTGGAGAAGCTTTTCCTAACGACCAGGTAAGTGGTAAACGATGATAAATAGATATTAGAATTCTATTCCAATTTCACCGGAACGTTACTTCGTTTTACTTCAGAACGGATGCCGTGACCATTCCTTCGACCGGCCAACAGCAACTTCCTATCTACCCAGCAACGAGGCCTAGCGAGGATATCGACGAAGAGCTTATTAGGGAGGCCAAGTCGGCGTTGAGGGCCGTGAAAGATTACACTCTGGAACAGGATAACGAAAATGTTTTCTCTAGATTGATCATCGAGGAACCGGAAGAGTTCAGAGGTATCTAAAAATAGATATACGTGCTTCACAAAAATTGATCTCTTTAGATTTCGAATAAACGAAATATTGTTTCAATTGTGCGAAGGTCGAACTTTGGCAGAGCACATGCTGGCGTTACCCTGGACCGAAGAACTTCTCGCAAGAGCCATCGAGCAGAATCTGTATCACGGAAGGCACATGACTTTCTGCAGAAAGAGAGACGACAAGCTTGCTCTGGTACGTTGGTATCTTAACCCTTTGCGCTCCAAGCCTGTTTCGCTCGGTCGAATCAGCAACTCCAGATCCGCGCGTTCTCATAAGATCACCATAAGATAATTACTCGTAAGATAAGATTACACTTCATAAGATTATAAAGAGCTTAGAAATCTATTTATGAAGCGACATTCTAAAAAAATCAAACATAAATAAATATTGTCGCCGTTCAAGTTGCCGCAACAATTCCAGTGGTGGCGAAGAGTCACCGGTGGAGTTAACTCAAGTGGTGACCGAGAGTTACCGTTGGAGAGCAAAGGGTTAAAATACGTACGATTCTTCGTAAAATCATCGATTAACCTCTTTACAGCCAGCAGACATACAAACGTTTCCTAATTACACGGAATTACCGGAAGTAAATGAAACGATGTGCACGGAAATGGCAAAATTATCCAATGCGTCGGGGTCCTCGTACTTCGATATCGTCACGTTCCTCACGATTCTAATCCTGACAATCGTCGTTTCCTAAAATTAAAATTTTAAACGTTTAAAAGAGCTGTACATTATTGATCGATAAAAAAATATACGCCTTAAAATGTTTCGCTTAAAAATCTGTAACTGTTGGAAACAGGCTAAAAAAAAAAAAAAAAAAAAAAAAGCGAAATCGAAAAAGATTAATTAAGATAATAATTCACGGACAAACTGTCTCTTCGCCGATGAGAGACGACAAAATTTTCGAAAAATTTTGACAGTCCAATTTATATATAGAAATATAATATAATATATATATATATAATGTAATAATAATGTAATATGTACAATGTAAATATACCATCTACTTATTTATAAGATATTCGCGCTACAAGCCTTTCCTGTATTTTATATGGATTTTGTATAAAAATAAAAGAAATAAAAAAAAGATAAACCGAAATGACTCTATTTGTCTCAAATTTTCCACACCTCGATCGAATCGTTAATAATTCAATAAAAATATTAAACGATAATCGAATAAACTTAACGAAGTTAAGAAGATTCGAAGGAGAAATGAATTTCGTTTTTTCGAAGGGAGAAGAATCTCACGTGATAGATGATTGGTTTTGAAGCTCGTCCAATTGGATATAGCCGATATATCGGTCGCCACACACAGGTGTTTCCGATTCGCAATTTTCCGGATGGTTAACCAATCACGGAGGCGTTTGCAATACTCTTCTCGACCCGATTTCATTCATGGTGATTTTCACGTGTATCGGAATACGGGGGTCCCATGTGGTCGGTGCTGATAAGCACCGAATTGGTGGCCGGTATCGAATTGCGGTGGAGTTCCGCCGGGTATAAAAGCCCTGTCTCTTGGGACACGGAGCATCAGCAGCTCCCCAGAGCTCCAAGGAGCAACACGAGCAATCCTACGAGTCGCTCCCCCAATCCTTTGGATCGAACAGTCGTTGTACACCAGCGAGGTGAGTCTAAAACGATAATTAAAATTTTTTTTAAATCGATTGGTTGCACTGAGAATGCCTTGTTTGATGCCAAAGATGCGGCGTACACGGTACGTTGCATTGCCAGTGAGGGCTTGGCATTACGTCGGCCTTCTGGTGGTCTCCCTCGCCTGCCTCACGTTAGGCCTGGTCTCCAGGGACAAGGAAGGCCGTGCAGGAAGTTTGGCGGGACCTGAATTAAAGCACCAAGCACCTCACGAGTAAGACTTAGTATCAGAATCTTAGTCGAGTACTTGATTACAAATATTTTAATAAGTTAAAAATATTATAATATATATTATTATAAAACCAATACTCTATTTGCCGTTTTCCTCGCAGAGTGGATGCGTGCCCTAACTTGACTCCTTTCACCAAGATGCCTTCTTGCTCGAGCTTCGAGCAGGACCAAACCAGGATTTCGACGACGACCACAGCAACTTCTATCACACCGGCTGACGTCAGACTGTCTCGATCTCGTAGCTTGGATCGCATCTCCAGAACTCGGTCTCGTGAAGATGTTAGGAGGGTGGAGAGATCGGATAGACGGGGGACGAGCATCGAGAACAATCGTAGGGTGGAATCGAGACTTAGAAGCGAAAGCCAAGACCGCTTGAGGCCTGCGTCCGATCCTTCGACTCGACTTTCTCGATCGCGAAACTCGAGGGTTGCGTTGCAGGATCTTGAAAGAAGGACGTTGCTCGAGAGGTCTGCCGATAGGCGACGCGAAATAAACGGACGAGTAAATGATTCACGAGAACGTATCGCACGATCTTTGGAACGGCTAGCATCTACGGATTTCCGTCGAGAAAGGAACGATCGATCGTTGAGGGATAGGCGAAATGACCGTATGCAGTTGGCGACCAGACGCGATTCTGGATTGGAGCAAAATCGTAGGTCTCTTACAGGACAACGAGAAGTAGCTGGTGATCGAGAAAGAGTTAGTCGATTGGATCGTCGTATGGACGCAAGGACGAACGAACGACGGGACTCTTCGATTAGATCGTTGAAACGGTTTGGAGATGAAATGGAACGACGAGAGAGAAACAACAGATTGAATTTGGCTCGTGAACGACGCGAATCTCGACTCGACATCAGGGCATCTGAACGAGTTACTCGGGATTCGTCTCGCGATCGTAGCTCAGAACGACGAATGCTCGTAGAATCTAAAAGAAATTTGGAAAGGAGATCCACTTCTGTCGAATCCAGGAATCGAATTGAAGAAATCAAAGCTGATCGGAGACTTATGGAACAGAGAGCTAATCGTCGACTTGTGGAACAGAGAGTAGATCGCCGACTCATGGAACGAAGAGCTGATCGTCGACTTATGGAACGAAAAACTGATCGTGTTATGGAACAAAATGTTGATCGTAGACTTTCGGAAGAAAGGACTGATCGTAGAAGGATGGATCGTCAAGTTATGGAACGAAGAACTGATCGTCGCCTCATGGACCAAAAAGCTGATCGATCTATAGAACGAAAAGCTAACCAACGTCTCGTAGAACAAAGAACTGATCGTCGTCTCATGGACCAAAGAGTTGATCATCGATCTATGGAACGAAAAGCTAACCAACGTCTTATGGAACAGAGAATTGATCGCAGTCTTATGGAATCAAAAACTAACCAACGTCTCGTAGAACAAAGAACTGATCGCCGACTTATGGACCAAAGAACTGATCGATCTATAGAACGAAAAGCTAACCAACGTCTCATGGAACAGAGAACTGATCGTCGATTGATGGACCAAAGAGCTGATCGATCTATAGAACGAAAAGCTAACCAACGTCTCATGGAACAGAGAATTGATCGTCGACTAATGGAACAGAGAACTGATCGATCTATGGAACGAAAAGCTAACCAACGTCTTATGGAACAGAGAACTGATCGCAGACTTATGGACCAAAGAGCTGATCGATCTATAGAACGAAAAGCTAACCAACGTCTCATGGAACAGAGAACTGATCGTCGATTGATGGACCAAAGAGCTGATCGATCTATGGAACGAAAAGCTAACCAACGTCTCATGGAACAGAGAACTGATCGCCGACTTATGGACCAAAGAACTGATCGATCTATGGAACGAAAAGCTAACCAACGTCTCATGGAACAGAGAACTGATCGCAGACTTATGGACCAAAGAGCTGATCGATCTATAGAACGAAAAGCTAACCAACGTCTCATGGAACAGAGAACTGATCGTCGATTGATGGACCAAAGAGCTGATCGATCTATGGAACGAAAAGCTAACCAACGTCTCATGGAACAGAGAATTGATCGTCGACTAATAGAACAGAGAACTGATCGATCTATGGAACGAAAAGCTAACCAACGTCTCATAGAACAGAGAACTGATGGTCGATTGATGGACCAAAGTGCTGATCGATCTATGGAACGAAAAGCTAACCAACGTCTCATGGAACAGAGAATTGATCGTGGACTAATGGAACAGAGAAGTGATCGCCGACTGATGGAACAAAGAGCTGATCGTCGACTCATGGAACGTCGTCTCGCAGAGCTAAGGACCGATCGACGCGTTTTGAACTCAAAACGATCTATGAGACAAAGGCTTGACATTGACGGACAGCGACGAATTAGCACTACGCCTACTCTTCTCGCAAGTGACATTCGATCCAATGAAAAGGAACAAAGAGAAAGAGTTCGAGCAGTTTTAATATTCTCTCGAGATAGATCCCTAAACGATATTAAACGATCTCGTTCCGTAGACAGAGAACACGTTCGCTCCACAGACAGAGATTCTCGAAGACAATCAAACTCCCGAGATTTATCGGAAGATTCAATATTTATCCGAAGGCATATCCGATCGTCAAGGCTTCCGATTCAAGAACGCAATTCCAGAATTCCTGTTAATACACGTTCATTAGCAATGCGAGATAAAGTTTTAACCCATAACAATGAATACGTACCTAGAATGGGCGGCACGGAATTCCTGAAACAAGAGAGTCACGTTTCGTTCGACATTATCCGCCAGGCATTTGTAATTGGTCTTTGTACAATGTATGGATTATCCATTTTTTATGGCAAACGTTCTTTCATTCGGTAAGCAAACATCCATTCATACCAGTATCCTAATTGAAACATGAAAGATAATTAATCAATTGCAAAATTAATAAAATGCGTTTATTTGTTATAGCAACTTCGTGAGGCAGGCACCACAATTCATTCTATGGTAGAATCTGATCCAAGAAGGAATAACAATTTGCTACTCTCAAGATTTGCTTTTAATCACTGTTTTTAGTATAATATTTTTTGGCATTGCTATGTATTTAACAAGAAACTGTATATTAATGTACAGCTGATAAATGTATCCTGCATAGAGATAGAAATGTGTCGCATGTATTTAAAAATATATATTTTGTCCGAATAAATTGTTCAAATTAAACGTAATGTAAATGTATTCAATATTTTCCTGAAATCATTTTTCCATTGCACATCTATTCCATCACACATCATAGAAAAAAGACAATAGCACAAATGCACATAATATAATATTATATAATAGCAAATATTAAGCTGAATGGTCAAAGAGAAGAGAAATAATTTATTATTAAAGTCATAATCTCACGGTTTGTACATCATGGCTGTTTGGCTTAAAAGTAATTATAAAAAAATGCAACGACATGTATCCAGTCTTGAAAAAGTGACTATACTCTGTGTGATTACAATGATTTGATAAAAACATGATTTGATATAACTTGAAAGCAAAGAATTATTTTCTAGGATCATCGCGTAACAAAGTGTAACAAAGTTTTTTTTAATATTATTACATCTAGGACACGTCGAATTTGTGCGATATGCGTGTGCTTCGTTCGTCGTGAGAGTATAGAGTCAAACTATTGCTAAAACGTTTAATGATGGTTCCTAAAATGTATATAAATATATGTGTATAATATAACTGGACGACTTGATTATAGATGGATTCGTTGATCGCGAAAAATGAGTGAATATAAATAGAAAATAAATACAATTATATAACTGAGTCGTTCGTGTTTAGCATATCTTGAAAAAGCCTCATGTAAAAAATTAACTCCTATGCAACTTTGGAAAATATCTTATTTTCTCAAGATGCTTCCTATACGTTCATATGGTCTGTCTATCCATTCGTCAAATTGACAATAAATACAAGGCTAAAGATAGTTCCGATTTGGAAGCAGTCAAGTTTTCGACAATTTTTAAACCTACGTTATTAGATAAATAAAAAGTTTGCTTTTAGTAAATATAGATCAAAATATTTCTATGTTTTCATTTGATATTACGATTATTAGTTTTATTACTCCAACTATGGACGTTGTCCATGCATATTGCACGCACAATGGCAAGAAGGAATGTCGACGAGAAGTTACGATAAAACAGTAACTTTGTTATTTGTTCGTCTTTTCTTTTGCGTAACTTTGGCAGTGATCCCAGTCAATCATTATGTTACGAACTTTCCCAGGATCGATATGATTTCACTGAATTTCCATATCCTATGGTAAGAATAATTAAACATATTGCAAACGCGACCATGAACAATTAATCGTGTTGCCTTCGTGGAAAGATCGATAAAAAAAAAATATCGATCAAACCTTTTTGGCTGTGCATCCACTTACATATTTATAAAGTGCCTAACAACATGATAACTTCTAACAAAAACCTAAGATACGTTTCAGTACACTTGAACATACGAATTATCACAATGCCCGATAACGAATCGAGAAATTACAATTCTATCGATTTCTCGATATTTCATGAGCACCACCTTGCACATAAATCTATTCTAGTTCATCTAAAAATTAATGAACATTGGCGATTTCTTGAAGCATTCCAAGAATATGATCAAGCTCTTGTCGGAAATAACACAATTGTCGATTTTTACCCTTCTCGTTTTTACAATCCTTACATTGGGTTCTATTTCTAAGTAAATCGCGCACCAAACTTTGTAATGTCATCTCGCGACTTTCGTGTCGTTGTTGAAGAATCGTTATCTTGTCTTGTAATAATTGCAATTGTTCTGTACTCTAAAACAAAAGGTAGAATAATTACAAATGAATATATAAAATGATATATAAAATGTTTTAAATATATAAAATGTTTTAGAATAAATATTTAATCGCATACCGGTGTTGATAAATATTTCACTTTTTCATTCAATGTCTTCACTTTATTTTCTAAATGATCCCTTTCAGCCTTTAGGACAACGACTTGCTCTTTGTAATCTCTTAATTTCTCTATTTGTTGTTTTAAGTGAGATATCACAGCTACTTGAGTATTTATTTGACCCTATCAATAAGAACATTGTATTTATAAAATGATCATATATACATAATAACAGTACTACGTGCAAGATATGTATGTAAATATTGCAAGATATATGCAAATATTTTAACGTAATATAAATAATAATATAAATAAATAAGATAAATAAAAATAATAAATAAAAAAATATAAATGAACACTGCACGTAATACAACGAACCTGTAACTTTACCACTTTAGAGTCTCCGAATTTCACGCTATATTCCTTCAATAAAGTGGCCATCTCACGTTCATGTTCCTCTTGCAAAATATTCAAATCGTGAAGTCGTTTGTTTTTCAGAGCCATGAAATCCTTGTTCATCTTATTCAGTTCCTCTTTTAGAATATCATTCTCATCGGTCAATCTCTTCACTAAATTTGTATCTCCATTTTCGGTATACTGCATAGGATCATAAAGCTTTTGCGCTGAATTGGTTAATCGTTGAGTATTAGTATCAGATACATGTCCATTTTGATAAACGTTGGAGTTCTGATCGTTTCCTTCGATAGATTTCAAAGTCAACAACTTTGAATCCGAGGATATACCACGATTCTTTTCAAAATTCATAGTTTTCAATGATTTTCTATCGTTCAACAACTTTTCCCTCTCCTTCTGCAATCTTGTGTTCGTTTTTTGCAAATCTTGGAAATCTTTTGTGAGTTTCGACATCGCTTTATCTTTATTCGTGAGCTCCAATTTCAATCCACGTATAGTAGCCATGAGATAAGCATCGTCTTTGGAGTTTTGAGATTTTAGAGTAATTTTCGCAAAAGATTTTTGATCCTTTTTCTCTTCCTTTTCAAACGATCCTGCCCTCTCCTCCTTTCTAATAGTTTCTACACTCTTATTCTCTACAAGTTTCGATGCAGTTTGCGTGAACATATCATTGTACACCTTACGATCTTTCATATTAGCTTCCAATAGTTTACCATCCAGTTCTATTATTTGAGTAGTATATTTTTCTTTCATATCTGAAAACTTCTTTTGGAATTCGATCAATTTCTGATGTGCTAATTCATCTTTTGCCTTAATTTCATTTTCGAGACTCAAAATTCGATCTTCTAATAATTTAACTTTCTCTGCGCCAATCTTTTCTTGTTCAGAATTCGCAGTTAATATAAGAGCAGACACTGAATCAGGATTTTTTCTCTTTAGTATTCTTTCCATTTCACGAACCTGTCTGTTCAAATCTGTAATCTTCTTGTTATCAAGAATTACTTGGTCTTTTAATTTTTGCGTTAATTGTTTCTCACGTTCTACGTGACTCTTGGATATCTGTAATTTTTCTAAAAGATTACCCTCCTTAACCCTTAATTCTAAGAGTTCTTTCTCTAATGGGAGCACATTCTGTTGCACTTTATCGAATTCTTGTTTTATCACTCGCAATTGTTCCGTTTTAGAACTCAATTTCACTGTCAAATCCTCTACTTGTTTCTTCAATTGTAACTCTGACGTAGTCATCGCTTGTAATCGATCTGTGATGAAATCGTTCTTTGTTCTTAACTGTTCCTTAAACATTTCCAATTCATCGTTTAAAAGGCTATTTTGTTGACTCAAATCTTCATTGTTCAAGGCATAATCTGCATTTTTTTCTCGAAGCTCAGAGACTTCGAGATTAAGTTTCAAAGCCTCTTCCTCGAGATCCTTGATTTTATCTGCAAGTTCTTGCATTTTACCTGATTCAAGAGTTGTACTTTTTTGTTTTTGTAGCTGCTTCATTTCCTCCTGCATTCGTTTTGTGTCCTGCATCAGTTTCTTATTTTCCGTTTCATAAGCTTGAATCAAATTCTCTTGTTTCTCTAATTCTTTTTCTAGAAGCATAATTTTTGTATCTTTTTTTGGATGAGGATCTGGTCGTTTCTCATTTAACGAAAGTTCGTCTATTTTTGCTTTTAAAATAATATTTTGTTTCTTTAGTGCAAATAATTCTTCTTCAAAGGATATACGCATATTGTCTATCTGACTCTTGTACAATTTCACTTCTGATTCCAACTGTTGTTTCAATAGAGTATTCTTATGTCTTTCTTCACGACATAATATCTCCCAATTCGTTTTCGTTAAATTTTGTTTCGTATCACCACCTGCCATTGTAGTACATTTTGCATAAATGTCTGATGATTTAGTTTGGTGCGTTTTATACGTGGAAGACAAAGTGAAAGTAGAACCAGTCTTAACAGAATTTTTGTTTGGCTTTGGAGTTATTTTAGTCTTGGGAAGAGTTTTCGTGATTGATTTAACCGTAGGTTGCAATTTTGGCTTCAATGTTGGCGATCGTCTAATTACATTATTAGTAGGTCTTTTCATAACATCCGAAGGTTTACTTACTCTTATATTCTCTGTGGAAGTTCTAAATGATGGTTTGCAAATTTGATCATAACTCTTAGATTTAGAAAATTTTAACTCTTTTTTTTGTGATTTATTGCTAGATGCACTAGCCAGATGGATAGATTTACGTTCTATGTTACCACGTTGAGGAATTGTAACATTAACATTAGATTTAATTTCGGAATTTGTAATTGTTTTATGTACGATCGTTTTCGGTTCTTCCATGGATTCTTTGTCTTGTTGCGTTGTATTTTCTATTGACTTTTCAGCCAATAATTTAGGAATTGCATCTGCAAATAATTCTAATCTTGGCGTAAGATCAACTGTATATAATTCTTCCTTAGAATTAAGTACTTTCTTACCATCTTTTGATACAGTTATGTTTCTTGGAGATATTTCCTCTTTTTTATTAAATAGTTCTGTTTCATTTTTAGAATTATTATTAACATTTAAAGATTGCTTTTTTTCTTCATTGTCAGCACTAGAATCTGTTTCAACAATTTCATGTTCAATTTTTGGATTCGTCTGAGGTAATTCTTTTTCTAATATATCGGAAATTTCCTTCTCAGGAAATTCAGGAGTTTTGCCATTTGTAGTTTCTCCATCTAAAGTAAATATTTTTTCAGGTTTTGAAAGAAAAGAGTGTATAGTATTAGATTGGCTTGATTCTTGTTCTTTTTTACTATTTTGCCCTTGTAAAAGTTTCAAAAAATGCGAAAAATCTTCTTGTCCGAAACTTGAACTACCTGACATACCACCTTCAGCTTTTTCTTTAGATTTTTTCAATAAATCTTCGAAAAAGTCCTTATCTACATCAGTTATTTCTTTTTGTAAATTATCTTTATCTGATTCCAATTTTCTTATACTTTTTAATTCTTCCGACTTGGAATGTCTTTCAATAGGATCATCTAAATCCGAACTACTAGATACCTCTACTTTTTGTTCTTCAAATTTTCTTCTTTGAAGTTCCAGAGATTTTGGAGCTTTCAAGCTATTCACAGTTTCATATAAAATTTCAAATCCAGGACTACTGTCTCTCTTCTTCTCATTTTTTGGACTTCTTTTGATTTTTTCAGTCTCTTTATGTACTTCTTCTTCTATCAATTGAAAGATATCAGCTTCTAATTGTCTAACTCTGCTAAGGTTTTCTATATCTTCTGGAATATTCTCAGGTACTAAAGTATCAGATTTTGATCCACTTTTAGATAAACTGCTACTATTTTTTCTTACAAGTTTTTCAGCTTCTTCTAATAATTCTTCTACGGATTTTTCTTCCTCTATAGGATTTTTGGCTGAATCTCGAGACTTTGAACGATCTATAGCTGAATTTGGACTAAAAGTTCCAGCTATCTTACTCATTTCTTCTAAAATACTACCAATATCTTCATCAGTTGCATCTGTATAATAGAAAAGAAATACACTTAAAAAATTATACAAAATTATATAATTCTTTTGAAAATACTTACTTTCAAAATCAGAAGGATATTTATCAAATGCTGCAGAAGCTAAAACATCGCATAAAGTGTCATCTTTGTCTTTTATTTCAATTTCATTTTTATGCATAGCCTAAATAAAATAAAAGACTAAATTATAAAACTGAACAACACATTATTTGAAAATTAATATCTTACAAAAGATATAAAAAAACATAAAAGCCTTAATTACTTTACACATTTTTTCTTTTTCAAGAAATTCTTTCATTGAAGAACTAACATCCGGAGAAGGAGATAAAGACTGTTTTATTTTCTCATCTATTGAAATAGCATGAGAAGCATCAAGCCAAATATCTGGTTTTTTCAACCACCACTTTTCTTCCTCATGTTTCTCTTCTGATTTTTTAGATGTCTTAGGTTTTTCTTTTATTCTAATTGAAGTTTCCCCTACACTAAGACTAATAGAAGTACCCAAAGTATCATCTTCGGTTGAGTTCAACTAGATAAATTAAATATGCATGAAATCCTAATTATTGCAACAAAATAGTAAAAGTTGGCATATTTCTATTTCATATAAATTATCCAAAATAAATAATCAAACATTTTTTAAAAATTAAAATAGGTTAATACATAAGAATAAAAATATTTAAAATACTTACATCCTCATAATGAGGGGATTTTTGAGGATTTGAAGACATTCGGATTTTTCACTAATAATATCTTTGAATATTATAATCTAAGTAATCAATCATTTTTTTTTAGAATTATTTGACACTTAGCGTACTTATTGTTTGTTTGTTAATTTTAATTCGCTCAACGGTTGTCCTGTAGCGACCTCACCTAACCAATAACGTAAAATATGTTTGACATGTCGCATTAAAGAAAAAAATACAAAAAATGAAACGATTATATAATGGAATAAGTATATATACATATATATATATATATAAAATTATATTTAAGAAAATAACAAAATAATAAAAAAATAATCAATAGAAAAATATTTTTTACTGTCTTAGAGAATTTATTGTTCGATTCATTAGTATAAGCACATAACAGTTTTGTAATGACTACACATTTTCCTCATTTTTATTATTCATATTAAATTATAAAGTAATTTAATAACGAATAATGTATAATATACGTATATAGTAAGATTAACGAATGCACTTGATATTTAATAACAATTTATAATAGAATTTTAATTATATTTTAAAATATAAAGCATTAAAATAATCATTTTGCACAAATCCAATTTGTCATTCTTTTAAAGATACAAATAGAAATTTTCGATCAATATATCACGCAAAATGATTTAAGTATATCATTATACTTTTAGATATATAAATTCATTCGTAATAACAATTACAAATGATATTTCTTAGACTACAAGATAACAATTTATAGAATGAAAAGGAAAATTATTATTATTATATTTTCACTATGTATCACAATTTTGTGTATATGAATATCTGATATTTTTTAAAATATATTTATATATTTTTTTACATATATCTTATTTTAAACTTTGAAGGCGATCTGTGAATCCTTTATCTACATACATAACATTCTTAAGCGTATAACGCAACGTTTGTCTTAATTTCTACTAACAATTGATAATTATTTATATTTATACATTTTCATTCATAAAAATATTATTACGATAATAATGCATATATGTGTATTCAAAATAATTACATAGATACATATTTTCTTTTAATTTATAATCATCATATGATTTCTTATAAAAGATTAAGAAAAAAAAAATATTCATAATCGATTATCAATGAAACTTGTTTAGTATTTGTATGAATACAAATGATATTTTTTCCTTTAAAAAATAAATCTTTTATATGATATGATTCCCGATTTTGTAAAAAGATCAATGTCCATAACATGCATGCAATTTGAATAATTCTTTGTTAGCAAAACTTGTGTTACATTCTTCGCAATAATGTTTAATATCAATCATTTTCATTGAGGCCGACATCTTAGCTGTAACACTGTTTCTAATTGTTTTCATTAATGTTTTATTGGATGTTTTATTTCTATTCATAAGATTTTTAAGGCTTTTTGGTAATTTTTTAACCGATATATCCGCACTATCAGATTTTCTTATCTTACCGTTTCTCAGACAAACATCTTGACTTCTTAAATATCTTAGCGAATAATTTATACGAGTCAATCGATTCGATTTGATTTTTTTCGCTTTTAATTTATTGTTCGATATATTTCGTAAAGATTTCCAATTTGTTATACTAAAATTATCGATGGGATTTAATGCATTATGATTAATATTATCTTTTTTTATATTTACATCATAATCTTCAGGCAGTGAATCAATTTGATTAGGTAATGACAACATGGCGACTGATACCGATTCATCGAATATTAAATCCTTAAGATCCGAAGATTCTTCTTCCTTTATTTTTAACTTTATTTTATTTTTTAATTGTTTCGACATCTTATTTAATGGTAATTTTAATTCATTCGTAATATTTAAAACCTTTTTTTTATTCGCTTGACGCTTATTACTTTGCAATCTTTGGTTATTGTTCGTGGATTTTGAATATTTTCGTATTGGTCCTCTATAATTGATGGTCCCATTCCTTGGTCTCAAGATACGTCCTTCAGAATTATCGAGTTTTTCTACTTTAATTTGCGTTATATTAAACTCTGTTGAAGCTGACGTTTCTGACTTTATAATTGTCGATCTGTTTTCATTTTTCAATGATGACAAAGAGGGAAGTTTTCTTCTATTTTCTAAATAATTTATAGAATTCCTTCTAGGTCTTAAATTATGAACAATCATATCTTTTGAGGTTTCTTTGTTAGCATTATAAGATTCATTCAAATCATTAGATAAATTCAAACTGGAAGAAGTCGGCCTACATCTATCAGCATCTTTAACCTCATTGACAAGCTGAACTAAATTTGATCGTCCCTCAAATGTTTTACTGGATAAAAAATTCTTCTTTCGCGTTTCATTGGCGCAACTATCGTTACCTTGCCTAATTTCATTTGTCCTACTACATCTCGATATTTTGTTTTTATAATTTGTAGGTACAGTTTCATTACTTTGGTCCGATTTATCACAATAACAACTGCAACGTGTGTATGCTGTATACGTTATACGTTCGGAAATATCATCAGATTGAACACTATTCATCGGAAAAGTTACAGAACTCATCGAATTTATGTAGCCGACATCACCAACAATAGGATTTATGCCATACATGTCGTAATCCGGCGGTTCTACTTTGATCTTAATGTTTTCTATATGCACCATTGGCACACCGACTCTCTCCTTCGAATCTTCTTTTTGCATCCAAGATAATTGATTCTTCAAACCAGTATCTGTCTTCAAACAGTCCACATAAAATTTGTGAAACTCCTCCAGCTTGTAACTGCATCGATGACACATATGTTTCGGCAACAGGTCCATTTCGTGTACCTGCAGGATACACACGCGATACGAATGCGAGTGTTAAGTTCACGTGGTCGCATAAGGAAAACGAGGTGGGGATATATTGCACGTGCTGCATAAATGTATGAAGAAAATGAAGGGCGGGAAATTAAAGAATAATATTCGAATATGAATAATATAAAATCATAAAGGTATTTTACACAAAATAAAGAAAAAAAAACGATATTATTATAATGAAATATAATGAATTCTATTTTTATTCTAAATGAATAAAAAAAAATTCAAATGGCATCATCCAAATATAAATTGATCAATATTTGATAAAGAGATAATTATATAATAAAAAAATGATTTCGATTCTAATAACACATATGTGATATTTTTCGTCGACTTTAAACATTTAAAAATTCGTTGCAATATGTAATATAAATTATATCTACTTTTTTAAAGCTTCAAATACAAGATAATTTTAATTTTATTAAATTATCTAAAATAATTTAAGTTAACGAAAATATATAATATTCAACTAATTTTAATAATCTTGAAAGAAACGGAAATACGGAAATAAATTTTCCGTAATGTTACTTCAAGTACAAGATATTTAATATTTTCGTTATCTAAGAGTAATTCTATTTTCAGATATTTATTTTCAAATTTATAATTTATCTATTTCATGAATAATAAGGGGTTAAAACATTTGTTACTTGAAGTTATGCAATATATGAAAAGTGTTTATGAGGCATATTGGCGCGAAGTAACAATAACCTCACTTTTAGTATTATAAATGTAATCAATAAACATATTTACAAAAAAAATTAAAATCTGTAATAAATATGCTATATTTAATCAGAAAGATATACATTAAAAAACATCAATTTAGTAAATTAAATTTCATTAAAAAAAAAAAGAAAAATTATTGAACGTTCCTAGTGCAATTTCTGACAAAAAGGTGATTTAGGAGGGGGCGTTAATGATGTCAGGAAAGACCACCAAATACACGTGAAATTCATAACGAAACGATACGAATGTAGAAGGGAGAAGAGTGATATGACATACCATGATTGGGAGAATAGCGTTGATTTTCTTCACGTGGTTCTCATTCTTGTCAAAAATATTAATCGAGATACCGGATTGCTTACCGCAAAGGCGGCAGACGCGACTAGATTCGAGAGTCTCCATAACGGTATAAGAAGAATTAATTTGTCCGGGAGAGTGTCGCAGTAAGGAGTCGCGTGCGTATCTCTTCTATCCTTCTTGTAATTGCCTCACTAGAGCTTTCGCGGTACCCTGGCCGCGCTTCGCGGGTAATCCCCAAAAGCTCGCAGAGCGCGAACTTTCTTCTGCGGCTCAATCGCCGCCAGCGTACAATTCTGCGTCACGTTTCACCATCGGGGTTCGCGCAAACGCGAACCTTGGCAAGTGCTGCTAACTCGACGCAACTTGTGATCGACCGGTACCACCTCAATCTTCTACCGGCGGACGAAAAATCACCTGACTTTTCTCTTGATGCTTGCCACAACGATATCACCGCTCTCTACAAATTGAACGACAGGATCTGCTTATTGCGCTCTCGTTCGCTCGAGAGCAGAAGATCAATTTCAATCGATCCACCACCCACAGAAGTCGGGCAAACGGAGTTCGCCTTTTTTGTCGACGAATCGTAACTTACTGACATCTATCGGAACTTCCGGTATACGTGACGCGATGCAACTTACAGTTGATAATGTTTAACCAAACAATTACGTTCTAATCTTTTAATAAGTGACAGAATTATTTCTGACAAGCATATTTTACTTATTTAGAAGTTTATTTAATTTCATTTTATAATGGAGAATGAAAATACAACTAGTGAGAAATCTCTTGCAGACAAACATGCTGAGAGAATGAAACGTTTACGGGAACTTCACACGAAAAGAGTGAGTACAAAGTATAGTAATTACAATATAACCTATATTTTTTATTTAATTTTATTTCCATAACTTTTGAAAAAAATGTTTCTTACAAAATATTGATTTTATAGAATGAGGCCAGACAACAAAATCATAAAGAAGTAGTAGAGGAAGATAAAAGGAATAAACTTCCTTCAAATTGGGCATCACGTAAAAGACAAGCAGAATGGATTATACAAGATGAAGCTGCAAGAAAAGCTGCTCAAGAAAAAGTAAATATTGTTAAAAAATGATGAATATTATTAGATCATATTATAGCATAGAATTATTGAATATTGTATTATACATTTCATAGGGAGAAGATTATGAAAGAATGAAATTACTTCATATCGATGCAACAGAAGCAGAACGTATAGCAAGAAAGAAAAAAAATAAGAAAAATCCTGATCCAGGTTTTTCAGATTATGAACAAGCAGCTATCCGTCAATACAATAGGCTAGTAAAGAATATTAAACCAAACATGGATTCGTATGAAGAAGCTAAAGATAAATTAGGTCCAGCTTTTTATGGAGATAAAAATACTATATTACATGGTCTTCATGAAGATAAAAAAGAAGCTATTGACAAAATGGTTGAAGATTTGGAAAAACAGTTAGTATTTCACAGCTTAATGTTTAATTACAACATTCATATATTGTAATTCTTCTTCTTTTTCTAGAATTGCAAAGAGAGATAAATATAGCAGAAGAAGAATGCACAATGATGATGCTGATATTGATTACATCAACGAACGCAATGCTAAATTCAATCAAAAATTAGAAAGATTCTATGGTGAATACACGCGTGAAACAAAGTTAAACTTGGAACGGGGTACAGCTATATAATAGGTTGGCTGCAACTTTTTATTTAATTTAAATAGTGATTGTATTTACAGTTTTTATGTTTCCAATGTAATTTACGTTATACCACCCAACTATGCACTGTCCCTAAAAATAAAGCAAATATTTTTTATATCATATGTTATTTTATATTTTTATTCCTATATTAAAAATGTAAAAAATTACTTACGACTTGGGGAAAAGTTATGATGATGTGTAACTCGTATATGGATATCTTGAGTCTCGCCTGTAAATCGTATATTATATACATTTATAATACTCATTTATAATACTCATATTATATTTAATATATTTTTATATAATCTCATACGAGTACTTAAAAATTTCAAAATTCATTACTTACCAATTTGTGATTATTAACTCGTCAATTATTAAATAATATTAAATTATTAATAATTAGAAAAAATAACACTGCAAAATATATGGTAGATTAATCATGCCTTTATGTTAAAAATAAATTCATTAAAAAAATAAGAAAAATCATAAAAGTAGAAAATAGCACACATTCGTGCACTTAAGTACATAATAAATCTATTTTATTTATGCCGTATGTTCATCATTACGTTGTCATTACATAATTCCTTCAACGAGCAATTTTACAATAGAAAAGTAATATCACCTTTGGTTGTATTGCTCCATCACACTATAAGAAGTATAGAGATCATATATTTTTCATATATTAATTAATTGTTTGTGAAATATTATTCTGTGAGTTATCTGTTAACTCACAAATGTCAAAAAAAGAAAAACATGCGGTTAAGACATTGGAGTTTACTATTCCAAAGGCGGTGGAGGCGGCGGTAACGAGGTTGTAAGGTCCTCTATCGATTTTCCAGAAGTCGTACCTGTGTTTCCATGATCCATCAACCGTGGCATATCGCATTGTTCGCATTTATTCATCAATGGATGATTATCGAACGTGCACATTCTACAGACCCAAGAAGGTCCGTCTCGTTCTTCTCTGTCAGTATTGTTATCACTTAGTAGTTCCGGTTGCCAGGCGGGTGGTTGACTTGGCAAAGGCGGTGGATTGGAACTGACAGAACTCGATGGTAAAGGTTGACCAGTATAAATATGCTGATAAAACTTTTCATTCGTTTCACCCAAAGGTACTGCAAATAATAATAATAATAATAATAATAATAATAATAATAATAATATATAAATAAATAAAACAACTGAACTATAATATTTTATCTGAAAAAAATATTAAAAAATATAATAAAATCACTACCTCTTGGATCTGACCATTGATCTACTTCATCCGCGAGTCTATCGCATTCAACTTGTAACTGATAGATCTCGCTTCGTAATTTTTTTTTTAATTCCTGAAAAATGATCATTACATAATAATACATTTATTGAACATTACATCGTCTTAATCTTAATCAACGTTGCATACTTGAGGAGGCATAGAAGAATCAAGAGGCCTCGTGAGAGATTGTAATTCTTTCTTCATCGCTTCGAGTCGTCCTTTCTCGGCTCTCAATTCCCTGGCGAGTCTTTCTTTTCTTTCTAACTGCTCTGCGACCAATTTCTTTTGATGCTCCGCCACTAAAATGCCATAACATATTTTATTAGATTTAGAAGAAATACAATCGGTATAGTTTTGTTGAAAAATATATATTTTATTGTTGACTTGTTTTACAAAAATATACTTGCAGTATTGTATGTTCTAATTTGTCAGCAGAGATTGCATTGATATAAATTAGCCTCAACCCTTGTCAACGTTTTATTTCACTGTGTGTAAACGATTAAAGGGGAAACACGAAATATGAATTGTAGCGTTCAGGGAACGCGTCAACATCGAGACGACGCTGCTCGTGAGAGGGAAAAGCAGATCAGGTGGTCCACGTAGAGTAACCGCAAGCGTGGCTATGTATAGACGGAGCGTGGGGTCAGGAATGCGTAAATATCGTTCTCAGTGTTACATGCGTGGGCGTAGTATGTGCGACGGAGTGGTTTTCACAGGTAAATATACGTGTACGTAATTCCTACGATATGAGAATTCAGAAAACAAAGCGAATCATTTTTACAGGATATCGAAATAAACAAAAAATTTATATATATATATATATATATAGTGAATAATAAAAATAGCTCGTCTAAAAGGTTATTTTCAAAGTAGAGAAAGATATAGTTAAGAAGATCTTTACCTTGATTCAACGGCGATCGATTTTGATCGGAATTGGCCGATACGCGCTCACCAATGGGACTGGAGGGCGGCGAGGTCGTCGTCGGTCCTGACGGAGTCGTTGGAAGGCTAATGGAAGGGACGATGTTCGTTGTCGATGGTACGGAAGGTGTAGTTGGGGCGCTCATTGTCGTCGTAGGCCTCGGCAACTGACTAGGTGGCCCTGCTGGAAGACCTGCAACTTGAACGTTTTCAATCGGTCAAAGGCTGTCTCGATCTCTTTGGAAGCGCATATATTTTTATTTATAGGATTGAAAAAAAAAAAAAAAAGAAGAAATCGCGAATAAAGGAAAATAATACAGACCTGGTGGTCTTTGAGGACCGGTCTGCGCCGGCGGTATCAGACTGTTGGGCCTATTGGGGCCCATCGGAGGCCTGATTCTCGCAGCCGCCACAGTGCCAACGGCTCCCGCCCCAATGCTGATCTGAAGACGACTTTGAAAGCCCCGAGGATCTAGAGAAGAGCTCGAGTAAGTGAGACTCGAGCCCTGTGATCTGATGTCGATCGGTGGTTGAGGTTCCGAGGATGGGGGCCTCAGCGTCAGACTAACCGAGGTGTAGCTTCGCGTGTGATCGATCTGCGGCCCCGTGTTTACCACGTTCAGTAATGGCTCGGCATAATAAGTCCGTGGATCGAGGAGCAGATCACTTCGTTTACAGGCACCACCAATCGTAGGCACCGTTCGAAAGTCTAAATTGTTGGCCGGAATAAAAAAGAAAAATATTCCTTCTGTTACGAGCTCGAATAAATTACACGATCGAAGATACGAGAAGAGATGTAAGATCAAAAGAAGTCGACGGCATGTAACATGTAACGGCGAAGGATTTCTTTCGACTAACGGGCAAACAGGATCTCCACCGCACACAAGGCCATGTGATGTAACGTGATCGAAATTGAAATCGCTGCCATCGTTGCACGCGGATAAAAAACCTGTTTAATTCTTCCTCGAATATACACGATCATAATTAAATTCGAATAACGTAATTACATAATACGCAATCGTGCAACTATACTCGATCAAATTTATTATCGCAACTAATGTAATTGCAACCTACTATCATTGAAAGCATATCGGTTCTAATATTGAGTAAACAGTTTCCTCCATACCAACTTCAATACCATTTTCTTTTTTTTAACATATATTAACCATTACGCTAAAGAATAAAATATAATTTATCACGAGAAAACTGTTCGACTCTGAAACGACCAATGCTTATCCACTGTCCTAATCCTAGCCCTATAAACAACACCGTTCCGATCGTTCATCAAGGAGATTTCCTATTATCCATCCATCTATTTCGACTTCCCCTATCTCGGATAATCAACTACCTCTGGTACGTGGATGCGTACCGCGATTGCCAGCAGGGCTACAGGCAACGTTCACGTTCAGCTCGAATCCGGCTGGCTCGTTTCCCGCGTTCTGGACTTTGTTAAGGCAATTCGAGTCGCTGGCTCCTGTGCAATCGTCGAAGAAACCGCGTGTCGTACAGACGGCAGGCGCCGAGGAAGGGGTGGTGGATGAGTTAGCCGCGACCGGCGAGGAGGCTGATACGGCAGCTGCTCGTGTACAGGCGACAGGGCAACGCCGCGCCATACCGATGTCCAGTGATGCCGGCCTGTGCGGCCGCGTGTTGTTGGTGGTGGTGGTGGGGGGGTTGCTCGTGCCGCAACCGCGCTGCGCTTGATTCATCGAACAGCAACGTTGCTGCTGCGCAGCCACGTGGTTCGCTCGTTGTTGATGATGCTGTTGCTGCTGGAGGATGCCGCAAAGTACCGCCGGTGGGAATGCACCCGGAGACTGTCGTGACTCTTGGGTGGCGCGAAGACTTCTCGCGCATGTCTCCCGATCGTGGCTGTTCTGCAATGAACAGATGCACACTGGGTCAGCCAATTTCCGGACACCGTGTCGCCGAGCTCGACCGGGGAGGGTTTTGCGTTTCTTTTTCCAATTGGAAAATTTTCTTCCCTCTCCTGGATCCCAGCAACGGACGCTTAAACGCTTGTTCTCTCTCAACTCTTCGACTTTACTCTCCTCCTAGAGGATTGATGCCAGTTAACCGTTTGCGGTCCGATTAAGTTAGGGGAGAACGACGGATTTGCTTCTGGTTTCAAGTTCCAATCAATGCATAGTCCGTTGTAATTGGAGTTTGCTGAGAAGTTTGCAGAGAAAGATAGACCGCAAAGGGTTAAATGTTGCAAGGCATCGACGCGATCCTTGACAGTGGATAGTTGTGAGATTTCCTGGTCTATCTTTCGCGGTAACGGAAACACGTTTGACAAACACGTTTTGTTATCAGGACGCGATTATCAGGACACGATTTTCAGCGACTGGAAATCCCAGAACTTCTCCATTCCGCGAATACAAGAGAATTGAAATTATATTGTTTAGTGCGGTCAATCTTTGCTGATTAAGAAACGCTATATATTTTTGAATGCGAAATTAGAGAAAAACCAAATGGTCAACACAAAGGACGTCTATATACACACAGGTTCCACGCTCGTGCAATGAGAGAAGAAATTTATGTCTGTTAATTTGCAATGCAGGAATGTTAAGATACTCGTGATGTGGTGCGTCGTATGGTTAGTCGTTATGATGATGATCAATTTTTTTTTTTTTTTTTTTTAGCATTGACACTTGGATGAGCGAAAAGAACAAATCTCTCTAAACTGAGGTTAAACTGAGGCACACTGTGCAATCAAGAAGGAACTCTTCCCGGAAAACTCGATCCAATCCGAGCAAACCTGGATCGTTTACGATCGCATTGCGTGAAAGGAAAATTTCTTTCTCTACTCCGTTCTTTGCTCTGGATCGAAGTTTCCGGGAGACCAGCATATAGGAACGATATATCTGGCGGACAAAGAGCACCTATACCTGGGCGATGCACTGGGAAACGACGTGATCAGGGAGCGCAGGGAACTGCTGCTTCAGCTCATGGAACAGCTGCATGATAGCGATGTTAGAGCAATGGCACTCCCCCATCGTGGGCCCCCATCCTCCTGGCAAGGCCTACCTGTGGGTGCCAGGTCTCTTGTTACACCAGTTTGTATGATTCGATGTCGAAGGAACAAATACAGCCCAACAATACAGCTGATTAATCGATAAACCGAGGATCGCCACGATCGTTGGGTGTGTCGATCGAGCGGCATCGAGACAAATTCGCGAAATAATGAAAATGAGAAACGATGTGTCGGTGGATAAAGTAAGGTAAATTGTTATCGATGATTTTCCAACGAGCACGAGTATGTGTTGTGGTAGACAAACGAGACCGGGAGAAGGTGGAATCCGGCAAGATCGTCGAAATTTTGTAGTTTAGTGGATAAACGATTTGGATGGCCTCCAAATACGACGTTTCTTGCAATTTCGTGTCAGTGCGCGAAAGTGTTTCAAATTATTCAACCACGGATGAGTGGACGGGGATGCGATTAATGGAGACAAAATCGTGAGAAAATGAAAAGGTAAAGACCGTGGAACCTGCCGGGGCAAATCGCCTCACTTGTTGGAGACGCGATGAAATATTACGCATGATCGTGCGTTGAATCCTCTTAATTATAGCGAAGGCCACACCAAACTTCGATCCGTGTACGCGGGACTCCTTAAGTTTGGAGATTTTCTTTGACTTGAGATGCGATCGTTAATTTCTCGAAACGCTTCGATCGTTTTTTTTTTTTTTTTTTTTTTTTTTTAATTTAATTTAA